GCGTGACAGTGCCCCCCTGGAGATGCAGCTTGATCCCAAGCTGCAGCTTGCAGAAACCTTGAGCGCACCACTTCCAGATCTTACCATGTAGCATGCTCCACTGGCAAAGAGGTCCATTTGATCAATGCTTGAACACGAGCCACTTTACCCTTCTTGACCAGCCGCCAATCCAGTATTACTTCAGGCTGAACAGCCGCAGCATCCAAAGTGACTGGAACAGGTAAGGATGAATACACTGGCGTATAATCAAGAACGAATGCCTTGAGCTGAGACACATGGAACACTGGGTGAATAGCACTACCAGCTGGTAATGCCAAATGATAAGCCGCCTGTCAAATCTTTTCTTCAAATTTGTAGGGACCAAAGAACTTGTAGGCCAATTTTGGATAGGGCCTATTCACCACAGATGACTGAGCATATGGTTGCAGCTTGAGAAAGACTTGATCACCCACCAGGAAAGAGCGGTCAGACTGGCCTTTGTCAGCCATATTCTTCATGCGAATTTGGGCTCGAGCAATTTGCTCCTGAAGAAAGGTGGAGACCAGTTCTCGTTCAGTCAGCAAATCCACCACCTCAGGCTGAAAAGCTTCAAATAAATCCAGAGTGAGCTGAGCATAATAAGGCTCACGATCAAACAGAGCTTCGTAAGGAGAGCAACCCAGAGTGGTATGAAAACTGGTATTGTACCAAAACTCAGCCAAGTGAAGCAAGGCAGTCCACTTCTTAGGATTAGCTCGTGTCAGACATCGCAAATACATCTCTAGGCACTAATTAACCCGTTCAGTTTGTCCATCGGTTTGGGGATGATATGCTGTACTCAGTTGCAATTCAGTTTTCCAAACTGCAAATAGATCCTACCATAATTTACTGATAAAGATGCAGTACCGGTCAGAAACAATAGACCTAGGTATCCCATGAGTCTTAAACACCAATTTGTCCACAACATGGGCCACTTGAGAAGCAGTATATGGATGTTTCAGAGGAATGAAGTACCTGTATTTGGTGAACTGATCCACAACAACCAATATAGAATTGAAACCCCCAGACAAGGGCAAGCCCTCAATGAAATCCAACAAGATATCTTGCCAAGCATCTTTGGGAATAGGTAAAGGAACAAGCAAGCCAGGTAACTTACAGTGCTCATGCTTCGCTTGCTGGCAGACTTGACACTACTGCACAAAACTTTCCACAGCCACTTTCAGACCAGACCATGCAAACAACTTTTTCAAGCGTTGGTAAGTAGCCATGACCCCTGAATGGCCCCCAATTGGAGTAGAGTGAAAAGTAGCTATGATTTTTGTAACCCAGCATTGGCCCCAATCCAGATTTTGTCTTGTAATTTAATAATACCATTCACCAAAGTGTAACCTTTAGAATTAGGTTGAGCAATGGCTAATTCTTCCAGCAGTTGTTGAGCTTTGGGATATACTGCATAAGAATTGATAACTTCTTGTAAGAAGATAAATTGCACCATAGTCAAGGCAGCGATATTTTCATGAGAAATCCTAGATAATGCATCAGCTACAACATTCTCAACACCCTTTTTGTACTGGAAAGTATATTGTAGCCTCATAAGTTTGGTCATAGCTTTCTGTTGTAATTATGTACCCAGGACTTGATCATCGAGATGGCACAGACTTTTGTGATATGTTTTAATTGTAAAGGGCCCCCTGCTGAGATAAGATCTCCACTTATCAATACACATCATAATAGCCAAAAATTCTTTCTCATAGATGGAAAGCTTCTGATTGGCTAGCCCCAAAGCTTTGCTGTAATAGGCTATGGGTTGGCCATGCTGGCTCAAGACAGCACCAACTCCTGAAGAACAAGCATCAGTTTCTAAAGTGAAAGGTTGAGCAAAATCAGGCAGAGCTAATACAGGAGTAGTACTCATTGCGTGCTTCAAGTGCTCAAAAGCTGCGTGGGCAGCAGCATCCGAGGAAAAGGACTTCTTCTTAAGTAAGTTGGTGAGAGGTTTGGCCAAAATGCTGTAATGATGCACAAATTTGCGATAATACCCAGTCAAGCCAAGAAACCCCCTTTAATTCAGAGATAGATGTAGGTACTGGCCAAGCCAACAAAGCTGATGTCTTATCAGGGTCAGTACTGATCCCCTGATTAGAAATAATATGCCCCAAATAATCTAGTTTCTTCTGAGCAAACGAGCATTTGGATGCTTTAACATACAACTGATGCTACTGTAGGATGGCAAAAACTTGTTTCAAATGATTCACATGTTGTTCCAGGGTTGGGCTATACACCAAAATATCATCCGTAAACACCAAAACAAATTTCCTAATAAAAGGAGCAAAGACTGAATTCATAAGGCATTGAAAAGTAGAGGGTGCATTAGTGAGACCAAAGGGCATCACCCGAAATTGAAACTGTCCATGGTGAGTTTTGAAGGCTATTTTAAACTCATCTTGTTCCACCATCCTAATTTGATGATACCCAGCTTTCAAATCCAGTTTGGAGAAAAATTGAGTGCCTGCAAGCTCATCCAGTAATTCATCCATCACCGGCATAGGAAATTTGCTTTTAATGGTGATATCATTCAATTTTCTGTAATCCACACAACCTCCAACTGCCATCCTTTTTCTTCACCAACAATATAGGAGAGGAAAAATGACTCATGCTTGGTGTAATCAGCCCTGAATCCAACATTTCAGTCACTTGCCTTTCAATTTCAGTTTTCTGGAGAGGGGAGTATCTATACGGTTTGCTATTAACCGGAGTGGCATCACGCAAAAGAGAGATAGCATGATCAAAAGTTCGATGAGGAGGTAAGGATTTGAGGTCCTGGAACACATCCTGAAACTCATCTAACACTTGCTGGATTACTGGTTCAACAGCAACAGGATCTGTAGGGAGAGCAAAAGATGGTGCTACTAATGCAGTAGCCCAAATGTCACACCCTTTGTGCCATTATAGAAACTGATGCAATGAAATTTTGGATAAATGAAGAGGAGGGTCAGAAGACTGGACCCCAGTCAACTGAACAGGACACCCCTTGTACTGAAACTTCAGAGAATGTTCTGCCCAATTACACTGCATATCACCCCATTGAGCCAACCAATCCATCCCAAGTATAGCATCATGACCCCCGAAAGGTAAAACTATCATATCATAGGAGAAGGTTAGACCTTGTATCCACCAAGAAAAGACAGGAATCTGATGCCGACAAGTAATGCAGTCCCCATTAGCCACTTTCACCACTATAGGGGGTATTTCTTCAAGCTGAAGACCCAGCAATTGAGCAAAATCATAGTCCAGAAAACTGTGAGAACTTCCTGAATCAATGAGCATAAGAAGCACCTTGTTCTGCACCAAGGCTCTGAGTCACATCGCTTGGGGATGAGAACTACCAGCCAGAGCAGTCACTGAAATATGACAAAGATCAGCGGTCTCTTCTCTTTCTCCTATGACTACAGCATCTAACAACTCATCAGACAAAATCTCAGTTGTCTACATAAGCTTCAGCTGACTGCCTTGTAAGACACATTTATGCTCAGGGGAATACTTCTGTCCACACTTAAAACATAAACCATTAGCCCGACGATAATCCTTCAGTTGTTTGGCCTTCCATAAGTCCCCTTTTTCAAACTTCACAGGAGATGTGTCAACTGAAACAATAGACTGATCAGGTTTGTAAACAATAGGCTTAAACTGCAACTTCTTATGAGACTTATGAGACTGCATAGATAGCACCTCCTCCTGAGCCAATGCCACAGCAGCTGCATGGGAAACTGTACTTGGCAATGCCACTAAAATAGCAGATCAAATCTCCTCCTTTAACCCTAACATAAACCGAGTGACCAGCATCATACCCCCATAAGCAAGATCAAACAAGCGCACTTGGTACACCAAAGAGTCAAAAGCTTTTTTATAATCAGCCACAGAATCAGTTTGAGTAAAAGTTTGCAGAGCAAAAGTAGTTTCATGCTCAGTTTCACACTCAAATTCCTCAATAACAGCTTGACAAAAATGAGGCCAATCATGAACAGGAGTCACCAGCTTAAATGACTGATACCACTGGGCCGCATCCCCAATCAAATGTAACACAACACCAGAGATCATAAAATTCTCAAGAATCTGATACATGACTTAATAGGTTTCACAATTGTCTAACCAAATGCGAACATCGCTGCCTGAAAATTTACGAAGTTCCATTTTAGGGAGATGTGATTTCCTTCTACCCCCATCACCAGCAGGGCCCCCATTACCCTCTGCTCTGCTAGGTTCGCCCCATCCTCAGACTCCCGACATGTAAAAGGCATAATTGTAACTGTGGGGGGAGAGTGAAGTGGAGGTTTAGATGCACCTGAGATGTTCGATGAATTGCCCGGCAGCGTGCCCAGAATTCCACCCGAAGTGTGTGTGGGAATCTCCACTTGCAGCGGTGCCTTGCTCTTGATAGCTTGTGCCAAAAGAGAGCTGCTGCATCTTCCCCAATGAATCCATCGCCAGATTCACCTTAGAACTTACTTGAGAGATATGGTCACCTTGTTGCCCAAGACGTTTGTCCAGTATCTCCATCTTCGTCGTCATCTCCTCCATCTTAGCCAACAATTTGCTCTCCATGGATTCCATGGCGACCCGCAGCGGAGCGCTAAGTTTGGCCGGCGCCATAATGAACTACTCCTCCCGATGGACTCGAAACCTATCTCTGATACCACTGTAACACCCCGCCGCCTTCACCTCCAGAATCATTTGAGACAGAGAATTGAGGAGGAAGAAGGTTCAGATTGAGCGGAAGATCTAAGAGACAAAATTTGGGGTAGTTGAGATTGATTTCTCTTCTTTTTCATATCTGAATCTTACAGTTGTTTCATGTACTATTTATAGTACGAAAACCCGCATCACACTTCCCAGGCGCGCAGGCCCAACTCCCTTTTCTTACATGGCTCAGCGGCCCACTTACCACTTACACCCATAGTCTATTTTAGGTCCTGCCCGATGGCTACTCTGCATCAGGCGTGACAGATTGACACGAAAAACAATAAAGTAATTTGGATCTATTTATTAAATGTAAATACTGCATTAATTGATTACTTAGAGGGCTCAGATACCAAGCCTCTATCCAAGTATAATACAACCGCAGTAATATTGCAGCGCAGGATCAAGAGTAGAAACCGGCAAACAGAACTGATTTTCCAAAAAGAACATCGCTCTCTGCCTACCTTTACATAAGCCGACGAATATCTGTCCTAGACAATACATCGATCGTCAATAATGACAATTCGTCCTAATAATTAAGTCATATATATATACTAGTAATTATAATAATTAATCGAGGTAGATATATATAATTTGCTCCCAGCAAGATGCTGACTAAATTCTTGGTTGAACAAACTAGAAGTTGATGTTGGACGTGTAGGTGGTGCCGAAGTTCCAGTTGGAGGGCGCGATGTTCCACACCGTGACCTCGCGGGCGTCGTCGAGCTTCACCTTGAACGACAGGCTCTGGGTGTTGAGGTAGGCGTTGCTCTGCCAGTTTTGGCCCCAGTTCCTGCTCATCGCCATCCAGTCCGTCTTGGACCCCTTGATCGACACCTGCGCCACCACGCCGCTGCCTCCCACGTTGAACACCGTCACCAGCTCGAAGTAGTCCCTCCCGCTTATGGTGAACCTGATGCCCCCGCTCTTCTGGCACGGTACCCTAAAAATGCACACACAGCCGCTCATAAGCACATGTTCATGTCACTGCCGGTTTAAAACCTGACACAACGAACCGATCGATATATATCATATATGAAGGGGCCGGTTTCTGTAGTAGTGACTTGTGTTTTGCGATTTCGCGTATACCTCTTAAAATTGACGGGGACGATGCCGGCTTGGTAGATGGCGATGGAGGTCCAGGCCGGCTGCGACATGTCGAAGTGCTTGCGAGGCGGGTTGCACCACCCGCCGGCGTCGCTTTTTTTTGCGTAGTTGGGCGGGCACAGGTTGGTGGCCGTGATGGTGATGGACGTGCCGGGCTTGCACCACGTGGACTGGCTGGTGTCGCAGGCGATGGTGTAGCACGCGCCGCACATGGCGCCGTCGTTGAACAGCGCCGAGCTCAGCGCCGCGTTGTTCAGCCCGTACCCGGCGTTGTACAGGTTGCCGTATCCACACGCGCCTCCTGCATGCATATGCACGCACAATCAACATCATCAATATGCATGCACATTTCTCCAGAAAGGAAAAAAAAAAAGAAAACGTTTTGCAGAAATGGAGGAAGATAAACGAACGTACCCATGGTACCAGCGCCATCGCTGCCGCCGTAGAACGTTGCCGTGGCTGGTGTCCACTGGGCGTCGACTGCTTGATAAGCTAATGCGCAAAGAAGAAGCACTTGTACTACTGGCATTGCCATTGTGTTAATTGGTAAAGACGATGGAAGAACTTGCTGTAGAACTGCACTCTTGAGCTAGCTATGTTCTGCAGTGGCCTTCCTAGCAGCTTGACTCTGCATTTTATAGCAGGGATTAGCATCTGTGTGTTTATGCCGTAATTATGTGTATTTGTTTTCCTCTTGGTGGAGAAACCATGGCGGCTTGGTGGTTCCTTCTTTGACTTTGAAGCAGCAAGTTTTCAAACTCGTAAAAGAAAATTAGTTTCTGACGTGTTCTCCATGTTCTTGATGCTGTAAGAAATTTTCTTTGTCCGGAGAAATTCCAGCTTCCATGTGAGATCCCTACTGACAGACTTTCCTGCATGTGAGGGAATCCTTTGTGCTCAAAATTTCAACAGGTACACGATTCAAAAAGGATTATACTCTGTGTTGAGTTAATGCACTTAATATTGGTAAATAAAGTCGGTGGAATCCATGAGTCTTCAGCCTTTGGATCATGGACGAAATTCAGAAAATAAAATGTGTTCAGTTCTGTTACTGAGATAATTATGAAGCTGATCGTGCTGTCACGCGTGACCTGCTTACATGGCGTTCACATTTTAGAAATGCTGTATAACAATATAAAATGGTTGTACCTTTCGTACCCAATTATTTCTCGCATGTGTATAAGTTATATTAAATCTTTGCCTGGAAGTTTCATGAAAAATAAGATAAAATGCTCGGTGCATTGTTCAAGTTTTTTAAAGTAATTTTATGAGAAAAAATAAAACACACGGTAAAGTAAATTTTTGAAGTACATTTTGGTAATATTCATAGCTATTACACCTAATGCATGAACATTCCTGATGATGGTATACTACTTTAACGAAGCTATACTATAGCTAGTTGTACATGAGAGTATGGACATGTGTCGTGCCTGCATGAACACACCATCACAATAACCTGATAACTACCTACTACCTAGCTAGAGGCTACACCATACTGATACAGGAGCAGCTACAAGAGTAAATATTAATTCTCCATGAAAAGCTTTAGAAAAATTAATCTGCATCCTGGCAACGCGTAGATGTACCGGCCGTACCTTCCGCACGGATTAACTAAATTAATTAATTAGGCGTCATTGTTAACTCAACACATCTCCTGCAAGTCAACCCTGCATTAGTACATTTTTTCTGGGGTTATGCTACGATAGTTGTGATTAATTATACAAGTTGCAGAACATGTAGGGCCGTGAACTAAGGGATAGCTTTGGAGACGATCACATGGCCAATTTGTGCCAAACAGCTAATCGAAATGGAGAAAATGCAATGCAATCATCAACCAAGATTATATATAAAATGGTCGATACATTCTAGAGGAGATGGTAGTTGTGCGTTTAGATCTAGCTAGGGGCTAGAATATGAGTATGGTAGTTAAGATTCCGTATGAACGTAGTACACACCGCGACGCTAATTGGGTTTCGGTTCTCTGGTAATTGATATACTGCTTAATCTGCATCAAATAGGACTTTAGAAGTGCAAGGCACATGCCTTCTAATTTGGATATGTTAATGGGTCCGTTACCCTATCTTGTATTTCCCATGTGAGGTTATAAGAAAAATCAACATGGAGTATATATGTAGAATCATGTGATGATTTAATTATGTGATGAAAAGTTATCAAAGATAAGTGGCTGTGATGAAATTAAGCAAGTGCTTTGCTTTCTGGATGGGACCGGATGGAACGGAATGGTTGGGCCAAGAGGCCCGGGCTTATGGTGAATAAGTTTTTTCGGCATAGGCTGGGCCGGACCGACTGGGCCTAGAATTTGCGGACCGACCAGCATGGGACGCCCGAACGGTCCGACTGACTCTGAGTCAGAGTTGGTTTCGAAATAAAAATTGGTTTTTGCGTTTGATATTTAATGTTTATGACTTCTTAGTTGTTTCATATGTACATTTATGAAATGTGTTTATGCTAATGTGAATTAATTTGGTCTGAACTTATACTTTGATATGATTTCTTAGTTTTTCATGCTTGAGAGAAAATTACATATATACCATCGCAAAAGATTGGATTTACTGAAATGTCACTACTTAAATGGGCTTCGCTAGAATACCACCTTCAACTAAAGAGTCTTCGCCAAAATTCCATCCTGAATGGAAATGCTTCAACACGGCATTTGACCAACCCGCTCTACAAGGCCTTCGCCCTTTGTACTGCCATGGCCCCCACCAACATAAAGAGCTTCTACGCCCATCTCGATGCATGTCACGCCTAGAAATTTATTTAAATTTCCAAACTGTTTTGTCTATAAATCTCTATCTAAGAATCAAACCAGTGTACACAAAACGACAAATTAAAATATAGATCCAAATATAAGTAAATTGTCAATAAGTACAGAAGAGGCACTTAGTCCTCACACTGAAAAGAAAGCAGTAGCGAAAAAAGACGATCCTAGCTGTACTTCAGCTCCACTCCATAGGCAAAACTCAACTGAGGACTTAGCTTATACCTCAGTTGAGTTTTCTTTTCAGTGTGGGACTAATCACGGCGAAGCTGGTTGATCGCTCATAACCACGGGTACGGCTATTCGAAGAGCTTTACTCTAGCCAGAGGTGCACAACTGTACCTACAAGACACGATTCCACACATGTTGCCATGCCCCTGAAGTACCACCATGGTACCGCAAAGGGAGAAATCGTGACAAAGCCCTTCGCATAACTCCCTCTAACCAAGCGCACCACACTGCAGGTTTCACACCCACCTTTAAAACCAAGGTGGGCTGCCCCCTTGTTCCATGGTGAATCCGGAAACCGCATAGACCACCGCATGGTCCATCCAAACAACATCACACCCACCCTTGTCTAGGTACGTCAGAAATGGAAAACCTATTATACAAGTTCAGCAGTTGCCCATGCTTATTTGTTGTAAGCATGGTAAATCATCCAGGGATTACCTACGAATCTGTCCTTAATTGCCGTGGGTGCGACGATCAAAACCATGAACCTAGAGCCCACCATTAAGCTATATTTTAGTTGAGTAATTATGATCATTATACCATGGTCAAATATCTCGAGCTCTGTTGACAGTCCTTGCGTACCAAATCCAACTGTCAATTCCTGCATAAAAGCAAATGAAAGAATATAAAATGTAATATCAAACTCAGAGGTAGTGGTTATTACTAAGCATTTCCACAAAGTCTTGGTAAATATTTGTATGCAGGTGAATTATGGATGAAAAACACCCACCATGCGACTAAATACACCTCCGGACAATCGGATGCGTTTACATGGATTGGAGGCCCCACCTGTCAATAAATACCACATAGAATTGAGCCCAACCAAATTACATCATGTTGGGGGCCCACCAGGCAACCTTCCAGCTAATGCAGTGGATGGGAAGTGGGCCAGAAGTTTGGCCAAACTCCCTGTTCAGGCGAACCAACTCTGGTGCCCCTCACCATTTGGTTCCACGTGTACGCTCCTGATGACTCCCCATTGGCGGTTATGCATGGTCCTGGGCTTAATCGACCTCCAACCCGTCAATACAACACTATATAAAGAGGGGAAGCTCTCACTCTGAAAACACACAACTCAAGTGGAGTACAACTCACTTTTATATTTAGGCTACTCTCTAGTAGAGTTAAAATATGGAAAGAGAGTGAGGGGAAGCTCCAAAAGGAGTGCCCAAAATTTTGGAATTCTTTCCGTGGAGTTTAGGAGTTGTCAGCACTCTCTCTATTGGAGTCCCGGAGGAGTGTCGGAGTGACGGCACTCTCTCCGATCTTGTACCTCAGCGGATGCTTAGTAATCAATAGCGCGGATGTGGTGTCTAGGTGATGAGGACATCCTCCACTATTACCCGCTGGCAAAGACGCAAAAGTCGGGCGGCGACCGTGTGAGCCTCTGAATAATCCCACCTTGCTTAGCTTGGGAGGAGGAAGCCACCTTAAAAGGGAGAGCCACCCTTCCCCTATTGGACTAGTCTTTTAGGGAGATTGGGCCATTCCTCGAGTGGGTGTGCCTAAGAACTGTTGGGGTCCGGGCTACCTTAAATTGTTGGGCCTCGGCCAACCCCACCTGGGCCGGATTGTTATCACTAGGTTAAAGGTTACCTTTGTTTGTTGTGTGTTCTATGGAAAGTGAGGTAGGCGGCAGGTGGTGACAGCCCTGTCTATCCTTTGCATCCCTCCATGTTCGGGTACATCATAGAGCTCAGGGCCAGACTCACCCTGGCAAACTAGGAGAGGGCTGGTGCCCAAAGCATTCGAAAGAGTTTTACCTTTAACTTAAGTTAGCTAGTTGAAGACATAGGATTTCTCTCTATTCTAAGCCTACCATTTAGTTGTTGTCCTTTGTTGAATCATATTCTTAAATATACACACAGGTTCCATGTGTTCAATATCCTTGGAATACTCTAAGGGGAAGTGCTACAATGGTATCTGTGTGTGTAGCAAACACCAACAAGCTTGCAGCTGACCAAGATACTAGATGTAAATAGTGTGATTAAATCATTAGGTGTGCTTGTGATAATTAATTAATCATGGCTAAGCATATATATAATTTAGCAAGGTCAATACAAGTGACGCAAGCTAGTCAAATTATCACCCAAGTTTGCCAAATGATGAATATTAAGTAAACATGGCACTAGCAAACAGATAGGTAATCCTATAATACCATGCAATTAGCAAAACATGCATTTTATTTGTAAATGGTAAAACATTTTATAAAGTATGCTCAACATTCTCAAGGTGATGAGGACATTAATACCGCCGATACATCCACGCCTACATAAGTACAACTTCATGGTCCTATTACCCATGCTCATGCACGTCAACTCAATTAACAGTAGAGTTCTCTCGTGAGTTGATGTCCTTTTTATACCCTGGAGATGCATGCACTCTTGTTTTGCTTAGGAATGACGGAGAGGATCAAAAGGGGAGAGGATTCACACGGGCTAGATTCAGACTGCAGAACAATCCCAACTTGTGATGACCGCCACGACTTCATGCGAACTCTGTTTTGGGCGTTCAACTACTTCATGGAAAGCTCATCAAATCTACTTTCAAATGGATCCAACCTCATCTCCATATCTATTCAAGAGAGACCGCAATCACTGTTTTATTACAGAGAATT